ATTTGGCTCGATGAATAAGATTTTGAGAGTTTTATTGCTTAGAAACGATGATAAAAGACCTCTAAGGTTCCTAAAATGATTGTTAAAGTGGTCCTAATAAGTATAGTAATGCAAAACACACACACACACACACACACACACACACACACACACACACACACACACACACACACACACACACACACACACACACACACACCAGGGTGGCCTACCTGGGCACTGCTGCTGCTGATCTCTGCCTCTGTGACCTCTCACCTTGACCTCACCACTGTCTGTCCCACTCGGACGCCTGCTCCTGATTGGCTGCAGGAGGCTGCAGGGCTGAACTGTGGTTGGTCAATTCAGGAAGGGGGGTGGGAGGAAATCCCAGGTGCAAAAAAATATAAATATATATAGATATATTATTGAAAAACAACTAAGAAAAAAAATATATAGAGAAAAAAAAAATGTTATGTGAGATGGGATGCTTACACCCAGTGCTTCATGGGAAATGTAGTTTGAGGAAAATGTGTGTAGTTGTCTGCGCAGGCAGAAACAACAGATTCAAAAAAAGAGATGCCTAGATCTTAACCAGACCAGTGACTCGGAATGCATTTATCTTAGTATTGTTAATGTTATTTATTTTATATTTTGTTAAAACTGTGATTTTAATTGTACATATATAAACGGAAACCCTTGAACATCCAATGAGAAGCGGCCTCGTTTGTTCTGTGTTTGTGTCTTCAATTTATTTCTTATGTCTCAAGGAATCAACTCTGCTCTGCCATCGTCCATGCCTCTCGCTACCCTGCATTTGATACTGGATTTTTAAGGCAGATACAAATACCAATGTCTGGTATTTTATATAATCCTATCGAAGCATTTTGGCCAACATGATTTTTTACATAAATGCACAACACGTCTTGAGATAGTTCCTTTCAGGTAAAGCGGTTCAAGTACATTCACTTCTCTAATGTGAAACTGCAGTTTGAGTTTGAACTGAAAGTGAACATGAACTGAGTAAAGAGCGACAGAGCTGTTGACTCTTTGTTGATACTCCCAACACTCAGTTCCTAAAGGAAACCACCACACACACACAGGTTTGGAGTTTGTGTGTGGGTGTCTGGTCTTGTTCCACAGTTCACTGTAACTTGATATGTTTGTGTTTGGAAGTAGTTCTCTATGTGACACAGACACGTACACTTATTTAGTTATAGACACACTCATACCTCCATTTCTCACACAAACATACTCTCCCACACTTAGATTTCTTTATCTGTCCATCCATGTTTCTTTCCCAGCATTCCTCTCTTTAGCATGTGTTGATGGACACTGATAAACTTCACTTCTCCTGCTTATCGCTTTCAGAAACGCACGGTTTAGTTCACATGCTGAGGGCCTTTTTTACCTCCTGCTTCCAAGTTACCCAAAACGTAATATTTACTTATTAAAGCGCTTGCTATTAAATGCAGATTAGTCACTTAAAATAATAATACACCATGTCAAATGGATCTTAAATTTAACATGTTTTTATACCAGCTACACAAAGTAAAGTAAAGTTAGTAAATTCCAATATGTCCTGGAAAAAACATACTAATTGTAAGTCAAATTGAATAAATAAATGCTATATTCACATTTTCTTTAGCGTTTAAAGGTCCCATGTCATGCTTTTCTGGTTATTACCCGTCCCCTTGTGTGTTATGTAGCTTTGTATGCATGTAAACGGTCTGCAGAGTCACATAGCCGTTACGTTTGGACCAATCCGCGGACTTCCTCTCTCTCTCTCTCTCTCTCTCTCTCTCACACACACACACACACACACACACACACACACACACACACACACACACACACACAGGGCGGGACGTTGCAAGGCTCGCTGCTGCGAGGAGCGGGTCACTGTGAGCTGGCTCACTGGTGTGGGGTCAGCGAGACACCGAGGAACTCAGCCTGGGCACACACATAAACTCCCAGCCAGGCTGCGGGGCTGTGTGTGTGTGCCCATGACTGAGTTCCGCGGTTTAGGACAGAGAGTGAATACACATACTATACAGAGATGCTGTATGAGAAACCAATGTGAGTTTGGAAAACTGCACAATATAAATGTAAATGTTAGTATACCTCAACAATGGAATTATGATCAGTAGAAATGGCCATGACATGGGACCTTTAATATCTCGACAGTGTACAGTAGGTCAGCTGAACTTACCACAGCTCAACCATACATTAAACATAATGAAAAATAAAGGGAAAAATGACTCTTTAAAGAATTAATGAAAGGATATTTGCTTGGGTCTAATTAACAATACTGTAGCGACCCTGATAGGATGCTGAGGGTGTCACTCAGGCATCCCCCGTCTCTCTGCCAATCACAGAGCTGCACAGTGATGCTGGTCTAGGTGCGGTCCTGTGGTTGGGGGAGCAGACGGGGGAGGGCGGGGAAGTTGTAACGTAGACACTGTTATATGGGTATGTGTGGGAGTTAGCGTCAGAGAGTGTGTAAGGTGGAAAACCCAAGCTGTAGCTGTACCTGTACCTGTACCTGTATTCCTCTAAGCTAAGAAGAGTTATTAAAGCCTAATAACTTGAAGCCTGTTTCCGACTCCATCTGTGAACGTTACAATACTTTAAGGGAATTCCTCTGGCAATTCCCAATGATTCATTAACCCAACTATACATCTCATAAAATACTTGTTCCCACCCCTACAAAAAAATATTAGTTATTTCAAGGAAACTCTATTGACATTAGAAAAAATAGCCCTGTTGAAACTGAACCTGGTTTGTGCTAACATTAGCATATAGCTAACATGTAAATAGTTTAACAAGCTTAGCTAGCAACCTTGATTTCTTTCAGTAGCCTACAATATTTTTATTTTGCTAGCTTTTTCGATTTGCATCCGTTCTGATAACTGAACGTACCAAAGTAACAAGATCTTACATCATAAGGAGGCTTTTTATACAGTACAAAGTCAGACAGTTATTACTTGGATCTAATATTAAATCATTTCCAAATGGGCGGTGAAAGTAATCGCAACATTGTCTTTCATATATGTTTTCCTTGACCTGACCATGCTGTAATGGTCAAAATCACAAATGAGAGAGAATTACATGGTCAGTTTGTAACCTGTTTTGCTTTCCACTGAGTAACTATTTCTGCTCTGTGTTCTGTTTGGACTTCATGAATTCGGTCTGTTTTCCATCCAGAAAGAAGACACCTAACCTGGCTGTCTCTCCACCTTCCTCCCTCTCTCTCCCATGCTCTTGTATGGAAAGAGCTCAGCAGTGTTTCCACAACAAACACAACAGCAGCTTTCTCCGCTCTGCTTTCTCAACACTTTTCATCACCTCTGTCAACACGCTCGCACCTCCAGCGCCATTTGGAAAACGGACTCGACATCTCTGGTTTACACTTGAGTCAGTTGGGATTTATGTGTTTTTGTGTTACTTGCACATGTGGTTCAGTTAAATGAACTGATAAAGAATAAAGGCCTCACTGGTCATGAGAAGGAATTGTATCAGCAGTATTTAAGTGGAAGGACTTTAATGTTTAACGTTTGTTATCAACATCAAACTGATAGTGCTCAAATATTTCAAATTATATATTATTTGTTATTAAAATGAGTGTCATCAGAAAATGTCACTTATCAACCCTCCTATTGTCTTCGTTTCNCCCCCCCCTTACTTTGGTGTTCGCGGTCAAATTTGACCGGTCCTGTTTTAACCGCTATTACATTAACACAAAAACCATCAATCATCACCAAATTTCATTTAACACCCTTTCAAACTGTAAATATTGCATCAGACTACTGGTATACATGAACAACTGCAGTAAATATACAAAGAATAGACACTGAACATGTATTACGTGTGCCAGGTGTGATCCATGTGGGGGAATGGGCACATAAGAGCGGGGAATGTGTCAAATTGTGTGTGTGTCTGTGTGTGTGTATGTGTGTGTGTGTGTGTGTTTTATCTGATCCGGATGGTTACTAATTCCTTTTCTTTATGGCGGTCATTTTTGACCGGGAACACCATGGGTGTTACAAAGTTGACTAAATCATCCAAAATTCAATGAAAGTGGTGATTAACAATTTTATATGTTCAAATGTCTACTGTGAAGGATATCATAAAGCCTTAATGCAATCGAATGTAAAACAAAAAAGTTATGATTGAAGAAAGTAGTAAATCGGTCAGATTTGACCCAAAGACAACAGGAGGGTTAAACATAGTGTGGTCTAATGTGGCTTTAAAAATCTAGAACATCTGAACATCAGTGGACTTTGGAACCTAATTTTAACCAGTATTATGTGAGATTCATGTTTTGATAAAGTTAAGATGCTTTAAAGGTTACATGTTTTTGGACATTGAGTGGTTTATCCTGCTCCAGTGATGCAGAAGTGAACTCAAGGGTGTGTCAGTACACTGTGACCTCACTGGTGGGTTACAGTTGTAACAGGGATTCTGGCTGTTGCGTTATAAGTCATGTAGTTGTTGTTGAGTCAAAGTAAAACTGAAACCCTTTGGCAGCAATGTGGATGTCATTTCAGTAATAACCCAAAATGGTTGTGTGGCATTTGTTCATACAATAGGGACTTGGCTGATTGCCAGTTCAATTCCCCTAACTGAGGTGCCGATGAGCAAGGCACCATGACCCCACTCTGCTCCCTAGGCGCTGTATAAAAGCTGTGTATGCTTCTTAGCAGGATGGGTTAAATGCACATTTTCTATTTCTCAACAAAACTCAAAATATGAATGCTTGAAAATTGATACATGCTTTATCTATTAATAATGGAACAATCTTCATCTGGATCTAAATATGTTATGCCAATTGATTTAACCAATGTTAAATTATAATAAATAAATATCCCTTATCCACAAATGTGAAGAAAATATGACCAGGACATGCACTCTAAAAGACTACGAAATACTATTTAAGATATATATGGCTACCTTTTTTTAAACCAAGCAGGAACCAATAAAGCTAAATCAAGCCAGAAATAAAAGAAGACACTGCAGCCATGTGGTCTTAAATAAAGAGCAACTTTAATAGAAATGTTAAGGGTAACATATTATGTCAGCACAACAAGCTGTTTCCACAAATCCTAAATGTGATTTCATTCTGGTTTAAAGCTTCATCTAGAATAAGAAATAAACTCTTTATAAGTGCTGCATACAATACAAACTAAACCATATACACAACATGGGCCTTCATATTTGTTTTTAAATATATCTAAATATATTACAGCATTCACCTTTTATATATATATACAAAATAAATTATACAAAATAAAACAAAAAAAGAAATTCATATTTTTGAATCCAAATTCAATTCATTTTTAGTCATTTTGCTTCATGATAGAATATACACAGGCACGCACACACACACACACACAAACACACGCAAACACACACACGCACGTCCTCTTCAACAAAACTGGAAGACAGAAAGGAAGATTGTGGTTAAGATTCTTACAGAAAAAACATTTAAATGTGTAACATTTGAGTAAAAACAAAGTAGATTAAGTAAAATAACTCTGGTAAATTGAATCGTGGGTTAGGGTTAGCTTCAAACTCAAATAAAATTGTTGTTTTATGTAGTTAAAATCCATCCATATCAGAAACAATTCTGAGTCATAATAAATAAAAAGAAGCCTGCAACAGCAATTATATATTATATTGTGCCAACATTAAACTTAACACAAAGTTAACAAAGTCAGATCTGTGTGTCATTTTCTCGGAATTTCCTGCAAAAATACTGAACGTTTTCAGTATTTTGTAACTTCAATGCTTGCTTGAAATGATTCCTGAGGTTAGAGAGGTGTTTATTTATCAGTTTATCAAAGATAGCTTTATTAAACTGATAATAATGTCAGAGCCTACCGACATGTTTCAGATTCTCAAAATGCTGAAACGGAAACACTTCCCACAATCCAAGTTGCTCCAATGTGTGGCTTCACCTTGACCTACAGCCAGGAGCTAAATGAGGGAGGGGCCTGAAAAAGTACTGGAGAGAGAGGAGGGAGTAACTGTTGAGAGAAAAGGAGAAGAAAAAGAGAGGAGGGAGGAGGAGGGGGGAAAGGACAGGGGGGAGGTATGAGATGTAAACAAGGGGGGGAGGGAGGACAAGGAGAAATCTGAGAAAAAGGGAGAAAGAAGGAACATTGAAATAAATAAAAAGATATGAAGAAGTGAGAAAAGAAGGGAAACAGGTGAAAGAGAGAATCAGGCGGATATACAATATGTAAAGGGCGGCAGCACTCATGAAGGTGAGTGGAGAGGAAGAGGAGGATAACATGAAGAGTCTGGTCTCTGCTGCCATCTTGTGGTGAGAGTCATACTGACACTCAGGTCAATTTAACTTTTATTACAGTTACAGATGAGCTGCAATATTGTTATTTAGTAAAAGCACTTAAATTGACCTGCCTCCTCCTGTAAATCATTTCAGAAATATCCTTTACAAGTGTTTTACTTTGATGAAGAAGTTCACATAATGTATAAGGACTAATATGTTTGATAATTTATTTGAAAAGCGACCATTATACATTCCTTTTAAAAAGATTGACTTAGGTAAATTGTTGTATTTTTAATACCATAGCCTTTTGAAAAGGTTTTTTTAAGATTCTTATGGGTTCTTGTTTGTTGTGTGAGGTTGGATGCATATTTACAAATATTTCATGTGTGGACATGTGTAAATTATATGGAGCACCTGTGTACTTTATTCTAAGCATTCGCTGCTTCGCTGGCATGGTTTCAATTATATTTGCTGTATGTTTTAGCTTTAAGAATGTACCCACTATTTTATAAATCTTAAATCATTATTTTGTGTGTCACTACCTTCCATCGGTTGCCGCAGCTGTTACACAACACAAAGGTGGTCATCGGCTCATCAGCACTGCGGATCTGCACCTGAAACAAACAAAACATGACGGGAAGCATTTGAGTTCACCATTACTGATTATTTTGGGACACAATATTATTAATGCACTTTAACATTGAAAACAAGAGCCCTTATTCACAATGCACTCGTAGAAGGAAATGTATATTAAAAATTGTACCAACACTTTTGCGTTCAATTTTTAACAGAGAACATTTGTCCCATGTGCTCTCTGTGTATATTACTTAGCCACTGCATTCAGGGGGGTATACTACGAAGCAGGATTTTCGCTTAGCTGGCTAACTTCAGGGAAAACTCGGGGTTTCCAGTCCTACAAAGCTAGTTCTCTTTTTAGCAGGCTAGATCTCCATGGTAACTTATGTTGAGCGGCTAACCTGCCCCGGAGCAGGTTAGGTTGCAGGCTAAGAGATCAACTCAGTGAAAGCACTGCCTGCTGATCAATCAGAGCTCAGTGTGCGGAGTTTAAAGCGATCAAGTCATATTACAGGAGAAAGGAAATACAGAAAAGCTGCCTTTGCAGGAAAGAAGGCCGGCAAAAATCCCCGACTATGTGAACGTGAACATTAATAGAATATCACCTCCCATCTTCAGAGCAATCTGACTATTATAACATTAGCGTTAAGAAAGCTTAATTAAATATCTGCCACAACATAAGTAACCGGATCAGAGTAACATTAAGTACAGTCCGCGGCATATCACATCATCATGTATCATATATTTCCTTATCTGAGTCAGCTGAGCCGTATCTGGCCGTGCAACACTCACAGTGTCACATACTGTATGCAGAAGTATTATTTTAAGCAACACATTAAGTTGACGAAAACTCAAGACAAATGTAATTAAAGTCAGATCCACTCGTGTCTTAGACGGGGCAGTGATATCATAAACCTGTTAATGTACGCATTCAAACACTTTT